TGACGTGCTTAGATATCAACGTTAAAACTAGAAAGCCATGGCTATAGCATTTTAAACTAAACAGTACAGGTTAAGCTCTTTAACAAGCGTTAGAGAAAAGAACTCGAAACTTCCGCCTGCCCTCGTCGTCTAGAAAACACGTGCTCTAGTTCCTTAACAATACTGTATATCGAGATAATAGAAATTTAAATTTTTTCTGATGACAATAACCATTTATGTTGTTGAGAATGAGAATGTGGCACTACTTATTGGAAATGTTTTTACATTTGTTCTGGAAATTCATCGGTTATTTGTGCACGTTCACTATTTAAATTACCAAAACCGAAAAATGAATCTTAACCTACTTTTTGGATACCGAAATTACCCCTATACCTTCATTTGGTAATCCATGACGGCAAGACTGTTGGCGTCAAGCTTGCCTCTGACTTTGAAGAAACGCGTAACACACAACCAAAAGAGAAAAAAAAAAAGACTTCCACGTCAAATTCTTATCACTGCATTCTGTTCAAGATAAATCTATCATTGCATTAAGATGTTCATCTTGCTTAAACAGAGACGAGGCCAATTCGACCGTTACAGATAATCTTCAGTCGTGAGGGGTAACTTGTTCTACTGCTATATCAGAGGAAATTTTTCCATTCACGACTACCTGTTGTGCAAATAAAAAAAATTAAAAAAACAGAGAAAAAAAAAATTGACGTTAGCGCGCCGAAGGAGCTCTAATTTTGACTTTGATATGCCGACCACTACTTTTTGAGCACTTTACTCATGGAGCTCCAGCCGCATAATGAAGTTAAAATTAGAGCTACCACAGCGCGCAAACGTCAATCTTTTTTCACTGATTTTTGTTATTCGCATAACGGACTTCGCCAGAAAGGAGGGACTGCTTGTAGTCTATACATAAGGTGGTTTTCTTTTTCCACTGTCTCCAGGTAGAATCGGAATTTAGAATATTGGTATTTGTGGAGGGAGGAAAACCAGAGGATTCGGAGACAAACTTTTGGAGCAAGGATCATAACAAACAACAAGCTTCACTCACATGTGACACCAGGTCCAGAAATTGAACCTAAGCCTCAACAGTAGGAGGCCATCCCTCTTACCAATACAACATCCTTGCTCCCTTTTTCCACTGTGATATTGTGCAAGATTGCATGTTGTACATGCGATCTGCCCCTGAGCATGCTAGGTAATGAGAGTTTTTTGTTACATTCCCATCTCTATTCGCGCATTGGCCTGGTGAAGACAAAGTTTCATCTCCTCTGTGATGGTGATCTGCAATACCGGAATAATTTTCAGTTTCCAGTCACTGGGTATTTCGAGGTAATACAAACCAAAAACAACAAACAGCACAAACCAAACAGATCTATAATCAGGCACTGAATCTTGTAAGAGACAGTATGGAAATAAGATATTTTCTAAATTCTGTCTCTTGCAAAGACTTCATCTGAAAATGAAATTGTACAAACCAAACTGAAGCGGTTGTTGAAGCTAATAGACTGACAGGGGCAAAGGCAAAAAGCTCTAAAGTAGAAATGACCTTTTCATTTGAAATATTTTAAAAGGGTAGAATTAAGAAACATTTTCATATATTTCGTAATTTCACTATTAAAATTTCGATTCGACAGGCCTGGCCTTCGGACGTGTGCACTTGTAAGCATGTTTTTTGATTCAGTCTAAGAAGCGATAAGTTATAACTACTTCATCTCAAAACTTCTTCACTAAGACACCGAAACACTGGAAATTATATCATAAGGTCAAAATACCAGCAGAAATTTTGAGAAATCCTTATTTGCTTCGCGCTTCATCTTGGATGTACAGTCTCTCCGCCTCAGTATCTGCGATTGTTGTAACTCTCCACTGCCTTGCTACTCGAAATATTCGCCTGTACAGCGACAGTACTTCCCTTATCAACATTAGCAGAACCGACTTGCAATTTCTTTGAAGGAAACCGTGATCTTACTGCAGCCGAAAACTGCAGCAACCACGTCAATTTTGCGGCGTGTGTTGCGCCATGTTGAATTTTTATCCTTCAGGGTTACACCACTAGCCATATACAGCCTGACTTTTAGGATGATTGGTCATTTTCTTCGGTGATTTGTCTCAATCAAGTATTCGCGAGGTAAACATTGCTAAATACTTCCCAAGATGAGGGGGCGGAAGGTAGGGTTCAGAGACTGAATTCATAGATATATATGTCCCTGGAAGGCCAGTCGAGTGTGGCTCGCCGCAGCTTGTACCTGTCCTGTCCATGTTCAAAAGCTAGCAGTTTTTTAGGGTGCTAAAAGGAAACAAAGGCAACTGAGCAACAGAGACGAGATGGGAAGCTTCGGTTGGAAAACCCCGTCTATTTTTTCGTTTAAAGCCTCTCGCAGCTTCACGGCCTGTTTTTCGCAGCTCCGCCGCTTGACGCTTAAAATCGCGCACATAACCGCTAGGTACATGGGCTGAGCTAACACACAGGCCATCTTTCGAGGGAAAGTGTCATGGTTTGGCATGCGTATTAAAACACGGAAGCATCTCAAAAGTACGATCAAACTTCGTCTCTCGCCTTTCTGTTCCGGCTTTCATTTATTACGCTACTAAATATATTATCATCAGTGTCTGTTCCGATCGTAAAAGTCCACAACAGAGCTAGTTTCTTTCTCACATTGCTGACAATGTTTGTTGTATAAAACCAACTACTACCTGTCTACAAGGGATTAAGGGAATATGCACACAATTCTAGTTACAACAGGTCTCATTTCTAAGAGTGTTTCTTTTCGAGGCCTCCACGGGAATAGCTGAAAGGTAAACTAACTTATGGGTGGAGGATTGAAGAATGAAATAGGTTTTATAAATATTATTTTGGACATAACAAAGGAAAAAAACCAACAACAACTTATGGTAGCATATTTATTTGAAAGATTATATTTTCCAACGGAATGACAGAATGCATGTCTTATTTTTGTTATACACGTCTGTACGTTGTGATAGATCTTTCACAACTGTCTCATACTGTTGAGGATCGCGCTTTTTCCCGGCTGGTGAGGCGTATCCCTGTAGATGTTGTCCGAAATACCGCTAGAGTGTCAGCTATGGTGCGTTGGTCTGGAAAACGACATATATATAACTAAGGATTGGGTGTCTAATCACAACCGTCGATTAAAGCAGAAAAAAGATATCCCAAGAAACCGTCGTAAACTCCAAGTTAAAAAAGATAAAAATAAAAAACACACAAACAACCCGAAGGAAAACTTCCTGACAGAAAACATCAGTGACTAAGTAACGATGGTTTTTGGTTTGCATCTTATTGGTTGAAATTAGTTGCCGTGAGTTGTCTAAGCCAATCACAGCGCACTTTGACCGATAACTCCCGGATAACTCTGGACACTTATCTGAAAATTGCTCCACCACTCGAACATTATACCACATCTTCGCGTCTCTGAGTCACAATTCTCCACACAGATGTGACGTATCCCCACGTACAAAGAATAGTTCGTTTCCGTGAAGAAGAACTTTTTAGCTCAAATACGATAAAGTTGCACAGCTTTATCGTCAAAAAAAGACGGGAAATAAAAACAAATACAATTTCCATTTAATGTTTATGAGTAACATACTTTCTTCTGAACTGTTGGTTCGGGTCTCTGAGTGAAACCATTGACTTCAGTACTGCACTATGTTAGAAGAGAACTCTAACACATGTCGGTTGTCCGTTTCTTTATTCACTCTTTTTCTACGCAAGATAATACAACGGAGACTAGCTCTGATCTAACAAGGAAAGTATGGGTCACTGCTTATAAAGGTGACGCTTACTGAGCTGTCGATTTCTAACCTTCGTCATGCTTTTACACTTAACTAGCGAATCTCGCTAAGCTATGCAGAGCGGAGTTCGCATACTAAGTAGGTACCTTCGCGATGCCTGTGCTTTAAAAAATTACTTTCTACCTTAAATTTCTTAATCTTACGGTCAAGGTCGGGCGAAAGAAAAACAAGATTGGTAATATAAAAATTATAATAAACTTACTAACAGAAGTAAAATCAAAGTTGGAGATTTATCCTGAGAGAACATAGCCCTTGAGGACTGTTACATAACGACAGAATAAACAGAAAATTCGGAGAAGAAAGGGCGTACCCAAGGTACCGGCCCCAAAAAAGCAACGTGCTATTCGTATAAATTACTTGATTATAAATTCAGTGCGGAAGATGAAAAGTGCTACATGTTTACACCTTAAGACACCTCTAAGAAAAAGAGATGTCGAGCGTGCTAAATTATACCTGTAAGATGAGACCGCCAAAAGACTGAATAGGAAACGATTGACTGGCTTATTATAATTTTTACTGAATGGCTTGTGCTAATATATTATTTCCATTCATTTTCCACGTTGAAATAAGTCAAAAAACACCTGTAAGGAAAATTCTTTTTAGATGCCAATTTTGTCTTTTAACAACTACTGATAAATTTATATAAAAACTAAAATATGTACATCTAATCTGGTGATCTTACAAAGCCTAATTTGGGTAAATGTTTTCCTGGGCAATACAATGAAATAAAAAATTTTAAAAAGACTTTAATTGTCAAGTTTCTTCAGTAGTAAAAAATCCTGAGTTGAATCACCATAGTGTTTACTTCTCACGGTGTCTTCGTAGGTTTATTGTCGATGTTCTGAAGTTCTACGAGAGTAATGAAACGCTTAAATCTACAATATTATAGAATGTAAGTTGATTTCTAGTAGTAGTAGAAATATTGGTAAAGAGATGAAGGAATAGCCGGCAGGAGAGAGGAAAGAGATAAAAAGGTAGGAAGACATGAGTGAATGACAGAACTTGTTTGTCAAAACGCCAGTCACTACTACCAACAACAGTCCCCAGGGTCGTCAGGACTACATTCACCCGGACGATCAGACTACATGACCAATTTTACTGAACTGATACCTTTAAACGAAGACTGGAAAGTGCTAATAAAACTAGTAAACTTGTGGGAGGCTTTTTTCAGCTCGTGACTTCATCAAAATCAAATGATCAATTATTATCATTTTTTTCCTTCGATGGCGACACATCTAATAGAATATGATATTTAACATAAGCTGAGGGAAATCTAAATAACACAGAACTTCAAGTAAATATTTTTGTTTGATTCACAAGTAAGTTAAAGATCTGGAAAGATAAAGACATATTTCATTGAAAACTGTGGATATCTAAAGGGTCGGTTGAAATTGCTAATTTCTTGCAGCTATTCCTTTAACATTTTAGAACGTTGCCTTTTTCACCTGATCTTCCTCTTGCTCAGGCATGACTACCTGTGCTGTAGAAGGCAAGTTCCTAGGAGAAGAGGTCTGCAACAGAGAAACTTAGTTTCTTAGAAAAAATATTGTATCCGACATTTCTATCTATCAATTCTCTAGCCTTGTCACTGAAAAATTGTTGTCAATTGGTTTATCTGACTCTCTAAGGATATACATTATACCCTGTGCTTTTACCAAGCTAGAGTCCCTCAAAGCCGAGGAGACTCTAGAGCAAATGTCATGGGATGCTCGCCGGTCATTTAAAAAGGAAACCTTTTACATTAGCGGCCATTCACACTGGTGATTTTTGCTGCGGCTTTGAGAGCGATTTCTGCTACGATTTATTCCCGTGATTTCACGGGGACGTAGAATCGCCCTTGTGATAGCGTCCTCATTTTATTTTCACTAACAATATGCAAAAGTCAGACTGCAGCTAGCGGTCTGACTAGATATCCCACAAGAAGAGTAGTTTAGCTCTGCCAGTGGCAATTTGAGTCTACCTTAACCTCACCAGTACCAAATAGATGCAACGATATAAAATGGTGAAAAAATAGAAAAAGAAGTACAGCGAAGGAGTTATTTGAAAGAGCTAATTTAATTTTCTCTGAAGTTTCCTTGTCACGCACTCAGCACACGACCGTAAAACGGTCGGATAGATGGAGGTATCTTTAGGGCGGGTGAATCCTGAGATTTACTCAGCCGAAGGGTAAGAGCTTCAAAATTACGTTTCCAAAATAGCTCCTAATCAAAATTTCCTCCCCTAGTTCAATATTTTCAACTTCACATAATACATACCTGATCTGGAAGGGTCGGAGTAAAATTCAGCGTGCATAATTTGTCCCTATGAGATTGCTTCTCCATGTACAACTCTACTTGCAGGTTACTAAGGTCGCTAATGGATACACGCAAACTTCGTACAAAATGATCAGTTCCGAGAAACCTGGCACCAAAAAAATTAAACGAAGATATAAATACTAGGTATTTCTATTTGTTGCAAAAGATATGTTTTTCCTTACACATCTACTCCAAGTTGCCGGACACAATGGAAATCGGATGAACAAAAATTACCAAACTCACTTCAAGAAGTTGTCTAGATTTACTTCTTGCATCAAAGTAAATGCTTCGGAAAGAGACACAGACATCCAATCTTCTTTACACAGTGGCTTCAGCGAGTTTCCTCCCCCTTGAGCACAAAGGCGGCGAAGATCTGGAGATAGAGGAGTTTGCACTTGTTCTCTAAGATGGAGTGGGAAGCAGTAAAGAATCAGCACGTAGATCGTGGGATTTCCTGTTGCATATAAACGAGCAAAAAATCCTACTTCTTGTAACATCAGTCTTCTACAGAAGTCATAGGCAGCATTCTTTAGGGTGACAAAGGGTAATTTCAATCGGTCAATCCAAACCCAGTACCTAAGGGAAAACGACACAAACTTAACAACATCTATTCATATAGTCATTAAAGTTAAGAGAGTATTCCCGATCATTCATCATCAAATCAGAGGGCGCACATCTTTGGACAAGAGAATATATGCAAATAATCTCTTGCGTAGAATTACGGATTAACTGCTAATGCACCGATCAATTCGAAGTTTCAACAACCCCCCCCTCCCGGACAACCCACGGACATTTGACTGACGTCCGTGCCCGAGAAGGAGGAGAACTCGATCAAAAAGGCCTTTTCGTGGGTGGGAATTTTAACCTTGCCTCGGGTGGGGTGGGGCATTTGAACCGGAAGTACGAATTTGAATCGGAAGTGTCAAGTCCTTTCACCGCTATACACGAGCTCTTTTTTGAGATGGAAGAATTTAAGAAAAGGAAAAAAAAAGGTCTTCAAACGTTGTGCAAACTTGTGTGAGATTGAGTAGTGTGATTTTTAGGTTTTACAGCTTAAATAGTCAATTCAGTAAGTCGCAGCGCTGATATTGCTATTTTCACAAGATAGTTGTTGTCCGCAGAGTATGCATGAACAGCTATTGAATAGTGGGGTAAATGTAAAACAAATACAATTCATTCGAAGGTATTGCATTCAGTGGCTAAACACAACAGTATAATAAAATTTCACATCGTAGAACATGTTAGAATTATGCTTACAACCAAATGGCCATAAACCATGCCTTTTTCTCGCCATTTAAACATTTTCTCTTTGGAAGAGGGGTAACTGATCAAAAAATCCGGCACTTAAGTGGGGAATTTAGACGCAGTTTTGGCCCTTGGGGTGCCGGGAATTTAAACGAACCAATCTTCAAAAGTTCAAAGGACGGGGGTGGGTGTTGCCCAGAGGGTGGGATTTTGAAGCTTTGAAATGATCGACACTTAAATTTTAACCAATACAAAAGATTAAAGCCAGTCCCCAGAATTGTTAAAAACATATTCTCAGCCTAAAGCAAAAAACCCATTTTTTTTTACTGAGAAACTTTCTCAGATTAAATGCCATTTTCCAGTAAACAGCCTAAATTTTATGAAATAATCCTACCCCACTAAGAAAATTTCTCATGGAACTAAATGCTACGGTTAGTCAGTTTTCCACGCAATTCTCACGTGCACATTTGCTATCAATCAAATTCGCTGACGAAGGAACGGCAGTAACCATTGCCTTGGCCTGCGAACAGACCGTTGCTTGGTCTCGTCACGCAACGAAGGAAAGAGTGCAATGGGGGAATGACACTACAGGAAGCGTGACATCAATGCAGTTTCTTTTTGCCAACAGTTATTCAGACAAGAGTGGCAATAGACTATAAAGTACGTGTGTCTGAGTTTATTTTGGATAAATTGCAAGGTTTCTTTGCTCTCCACTGATCGATATTTTCATTGGAATCTTTTGAAAGTAAAGGCTCTTTTCTTTTACAAAAATACAAACATCAGTTACTTAGAAGCCTATTTCAACCCACCCATGGAAAAAAAAATCTTTTGCATGCGTACCATGCCTACGTTTACGTCAGTTAAGGGCGGACAAAACAAATCGCTCTCCCACGAGATCTCGTTGATAAGCGAGTCACACCGCGAATTGTGTAATAAACTGAGATCCCTGAAAGGTCGATTAAGGTTTGTAAAGAATACCTATAGATGACGAATTGGATTTAGAGTAATAATTTAGTCGTTTGGTTTCCTTTGTTTTTGTTTTTTTGCTCTTTTCTGTAGTTTTGTGCACCCTGATGTCACCTAATGATGCATGTCTTTTCTGCAAAAGATTTACCACGACCCTACCCACGTGAATGCTTTGCAGTTTGTTGCTGCTTTCAAAACAGTCAGAAGAGTATACTTACGATGAGAAGTGATTTACTGTAAACGTCACTGTCCCATTTTCAAGAACCGCTATATTTTCTAACTGCTCTGTGACTTCATTCCATTCTCTTTCATCCTCTTCAGAGGTTCGGCAAAATATCCTGACGTCAGTGGCCAAATAATCCAGACATTTGGGTATGTCTTCCCGGAGCGTAACAGGGATTGTGAGCCTAGCAGGTGCTAAAAGCTGAACTGGTTCAGAAGTTGAGATGTGAAGGATAGGTCCAACAACTAGTGGTTCTTTCAGTTTAGCATTACTGCATGGAACCTCTTGCACCTTCAGAGAAAGATGAAGCTGTACTATGTGTACTAATGAAAACCTAAAAGCGCACCAACTTAATAAAGAGTCGTTAAGGCAAACTGAATACACAATCACCTCTCACAGAAGTCGCTGACTGAAGGTAAGAGAGTGCTTATCGAATCATAGGCTGATAAGTCTACCTTCGTGTTCAAAAATCTTGTCTTTAACAGCAAAAACGTAATGTTAATATGTAAATTATTAGGATATATTCTGGTGGAAAGGATGTATAAGTACCTGTGCAGTAAGAGCAAAGGTTTGCCCTGTTGGGAGAGAACTCTCAGGGAATGTTACACTCACTCCTGGATGGTCTGACAGAATGCAAGGACAGGAAGATGACATAGTCGAAGGGTTTTTAAACGTGAAAGACTTGAGACGCCAGACCACCGCAAATGAAGAAAAACTCGTAATTTCTGCCTCTGCAAACGGAAATAACCAGTCTGGGAATTCATCCACGCCAGAATGCTCATCTTTGATATCTGTAATGAGGCAGAAGGTGTTGTTGACTTTCCTCGTGACAAAAAAAAAAAAAACCCTCTATTTTCAATCCTACATCTTTGTTGATTCAGCTTCATATTTTTACAAACAGTTCTTTAAATTTGTTTCTGACAAGTATGATTGTAATACTGGAAGAAGTAACACAGCTGAAGTGGCAGTAGGACAATCACACAAGATAAAAATGAACATTAAAACGACCAACTTCAATTACAAACTAAGTCTATGAGAAAGAAATACAAAGCCTATGCATCCTCTTATACAGTCAATTGTTTGTGGTTTCGTGCAAGGAAAGAGGTCAAGTTGTCTAAGGAAGGATGGCTGTACCCTGTAAATTACCAACATAGCCACTACCTGATGGCGTCCAAGCCCATCTGGTTTTCAAGTCCCTCCAATCATTGGTCTTCTCATTGATCAATTCTTTGATCACCAATTCGTATCCTTTAATGTCACTAGCACTGTGGGATAAAGCCACCTTCACTTTCACATTGAACTCGTAACGTTCCTCTGTACCAGGAAGGTTTCCACAGGCTAGTTCCATCACACTGCTCACTAAGGCCTCATTTCTTCCAAGGGGTGGTGATAGAATCTGCTGATTCCATAAAGAACATGTGACCTCGGTACATGTTGGCAGAGCTTTAGGAGGGATCATTACACGCGATGGGACGTTTTGGACCATTAGTGCCCCTCCTTCTTCGGTAATCTCGCTTCTGTAAAATGAGAGACGTGAAATCAAATAAAAAAAGAAGAGGAACAAGGAAGGGTGTTTCACTGAACATTCTTTTCATTATAATTAATTGTTTAACGCGCGCGCTATTTACGTTTACCGTTCCGCGCGCGCTCCGTTTGAATTCATATACCGCAATAATTATCGCAATGTTTGTCGCGTAAAACGTTTAATTTAAGACGCGTAATCTAGGTTTCAGTTGTTCAGTTCAGCTTCAGCCTCCGTAACTATTTGCCACAAGTACGGAGGCAGTCAAGAAGTAAGTTTTCAGTTGATTTCCAGGTTATCACAGTTAATTTTCTGTTTGTTTTGAACGCTTGTAAGGCTGAGTAACCACGTGGTTTCTTTGTATTTTAGATCGAATTGTGTTATTAAATCAAATACGGTTCTTCCTCCGTATTGGCTCTTTAGTCTTCTTTTCGACGAAACAAAGGGCATTATCATCAACAAAAACAGTAATATAAATAACAATAATATTAATGATCAAATAATCACTCTCTGTGCATGCTGTTCAATGCAAACATTTCCAGCAAATTTTCTTCCGTCACATGATGCATAATTCAATTATTTACCCTGGGACTCCAAATTTGATGTTGAACTAAAGCACCAATTAACTATTATTCTACTGAAGCGTGCCAAATACGAGATGATAAATAACCAACAAGGTCAACAGTCCAAAGTTGGTAATGTAATCTCATATTCAGCAAACCTGAGTAGAATAATTGTTTTGTTAAAAATTCACACAAAAAGAAATCTGCTCTTTTCCAACATTGCTACATGGCTTACTCACAGATATTTCTTTTTCACTTTGCTAAAAAATTCATGGAACATATTTGTTGAAGCCAGGCAATGAGATTGGAGCTTGAGGTTACATGCTTATGTTCAGTCAATCAGAAGGCAAAAATTTTAATAACTGTACTCCACTTTTCAAGTATACTTACTTACTAACACTGATCTTGTTATTCCTTGTAGAAAACTCTTTTTAATTTCCAGAGGAAGAGAACATGAAAAAAATAAAAAAAATAAATAAAAAAATGAAGCAGTCAAAGTAAAGACTATCATCTCAAGTTTCGTGACTTAAGGCGAAGTCACTGTATCAGATGAAACATATGATAGTTCTCTTTAAATTTAGTTGCACAACAGAAAGCGAAACCCAGGTAAAAACAGTAACCCATTTGGAGTGAGGAAAACATCACAAGAAGCCATTGGGAGTCAATCACACATCAACAAATGAAGATAACCTATAAAAAGAATCTACTTTTCTGCTCTCTTGAAGAAAACCCTGCCAACAATACAGTCGCCAACCCTGCCAACAATCCAGTCGCAGGTGCTCTTCTAGAATATTACATGCACTAAAGGGCATCTATGCAGTTGTATTTAATCCCATGACAGAAGAACAAGTTTACCAGCCAGTGTTAAAATAATAAAAAACTACAAGTTGTGGTATAGATTTATCTCAAGCAAGTTCCTTGGGCTCAAATGTTTCAAATATTTACAACATCTACCAGAGTATATAAATTTAGTATCTCATATCAGATTTGACTAAATCTGAGTTCCAGATCCTTTTTCACTTTACCTTTTCTTTCCTGAAGTCTCATAGCTTTAGGTAGTTCTTTTTGTTCTTTTTCACGACCAGTGGTGAACATGTCAGATGGGGGTGAAGTACCTAAGAAGACCAAAAGTGTAGAGCAAAATTAGCATTCAGTGTCTTCCTCATGTCAAACTCAAATGTACCTATTCCATCAACCCTCACAACAACCAACTTAATATTCCTTTAAACTGAAGGAGAGATTGGAGAAAATTCTATATTAGAAATGATGGAAAAAATGAAGGCATGTAACAGCTAATCTAATTTCACCCAAAAAAATTCATTAAATGTAAATTCATTTTTAATTTGCCTTCTAATCTCTGAGATTTCCCACAAGGTTCTTGTTCTTAAGCTGAAGGAGTGGTGCAGTATACAAGGAGACACAAGATGTCTTAGCACAAAGGCAGAAAGAGAGAAATTAGCATTTAGTATGTTTTTATACTGGGTGAAAGGTTAGGAATGAGCATTCTAGCATGTATCATGGTCATGTTTAGGTATAATACTCTGTTCCCATTAACTCTCCCATGTATCACTTATGAACATTATTGAAAAGAGTTCTACATGCATATCTAAATATGAACAGCTTCTTTTACAGGGAGAGAATATTCTTCAACCAGTTTATCAAGAATGCCATATCAGTAATCTTCTAACAACTCCCTCCAGGTTTTCAAGAGAATCACACCCCACTGAAATCACCAAACAACCTTCAACTGGAACACCTGTTGCAAGCTTTTCCAAGTATTCCTGAAACTCATTGCGATCTTCTGCAGACTGTTGTAGTGTGGTTTGGAGGTAGTTGCTTTGTATTAAGGATAGGATTTTGTCTTCCATGGTTTGGAAATCTTTAGTTCCCGTATGAACTAAGCTTCCCACAGTAGCAGATGCAACAGAAGCCTTCTGGTGTGGATCCTTTTGGAATCCTGCTGACTCTGGTGTTAACATGAAAGAAGCTGTATCAAAAGTCAACTCAACACTTTGATGAGTTATCTCTCTATCTGCTACATCTTCCTGGCAGAGTTGCAAAGATGATGTGAGTCTTGCATATGCAGAATACCAAATTAATTAAATTATTGCCACAAGAATTTTGAAAATGTCTCACTTTTTTTGTTTCAAATGCAAGATGAGGGTGAGAGGATTGATAAATGTTCCCAGCAAACTATAAAGCAAAAATCATCAGTGACTCGTGTAATTTGGTTTTATCAACTGAGTTGATAATGTAAATTAGCCACCATAAAGAATTTCTAAGCTGACATTTTGAGCATTAGCCCTTCCTCATTTTGCTCTGATAAGACCTCAGTCAAACATATTCCAGTTGCAGGCCTATTAGTGCTCTTCCAGAATATTACATGAAGTAAAGGGCAGCTAGGCAGTTGTATTTAGTTTTAAGTTTATCATACATTGTAAAAATAATAAAAATTTACAAGTTGTGGTATAGATTTATCTCAAGCAAGTTCCTTGGGCTTAAATGTTTGTAAATGTTTCAAATATTCACAACATCTACCAATATAGAAATTTAGTATTTCAAATTAGATTTGAATAAATCTGAGTTCCAGATTCTTTTTTCACTTTACCTTTTCTTTCCTGAAGTCTCATAGCTTTAGGTAGTTCTTCTTGTTCTTTTTCACGGCCAGTAGTGAACATATAAGATGGGGGTGAAGTACCTAAGGCCAAAAGTGTAGAGCAAATTTAGCATTCAGTGTCTTCTTCATGTCAAACTCAAATGCACCTATTCCATCAGCCCTCACAAAAGCCAACTTAATATTCCTTTAAATTGAAGGAGAGATTGGAGAAATTCTACATTTTAAATGATGGAAAAAAAGGAGCATGTCCATGAGAGCACCAGGCAGTCATGCTACTGCAATCTCACAGATTTCAGTGAAATTTTGCCAGTTTAAAGGGTCTACTCAAAACTCAGTGGGCAAACTGTTTCAATGGTATTTAACTGATTACTCTGAGGCTTCACATACATATTGTTACATCATTAATTAATGTACAACTCAAGTAGCAGTGAATTTGATTAATGGCTTGTCAATCAACAGCGGCAAATAAATGACCGTGTTTTAAGACTTTTCGATTCATCCAAATATTTGATGACTTTGAGGTCAAATATCTCCCCTTGCCAGAAAGCTACAATACCAATTTTAATTCCCTTTTATAATCCATCATTCATCTCTGAAAACCATCAAAAAATCTTTGGGCACTGCTGTATTTTTGTCTTGGATGCCTTTGAAAATCTGTGACTGTGACAATCTTCTCTCAACTACACCATGGATGATTATGCTTGTAATTATTAATATTGTTTCACCATCCCCAGCCATTACCATCTTAACATTCCCTGAGGGAACACTAAATTGGGTTTTAACCCTTTAACCCCTTGGAGTGACTGGCATCTAATTTCTCCTTACAATATCACCACTGAATCACACATGAATGTCATGAGAATAAAGGAAATGATCACCAACTAAAGAAAAACTCTTGATTGTTAGACAAATTCTCCTTGTCAGCACTTAAGTTAATATACTGAGAACAGTATGGAGAATATGAATACTGATGTTAGGGTGTAGAGGGTCAATTTCTTTCAAATAAATCTTTTTAATGAGAACTGAAAGTATTTCAAATAATTGTCAGTTTAGTTTTACCCTACAGACCCTAGCAACCTTAAATGTTTAATCCCAAAAGCACACTTCTTTACACTTGACATCATAGCTGAACACACTGAACATATTCACTTCCTCTTCACCTTTCCTATCTTCCTCTGCCCTTTCTCTATAAGTTCTATTTCGTGACCAGTGCTGGGTATTACAGTGAGGGGTGAAGAACCCAAGAGCAAAAAGTACAGGAAGAGATTAGCATTCACAGCCTCTCTTCAGATACTCTGTTTGTTGTTTCCCATACGTTTTACTCTTTTAAATAAAACTAATTCCACATTATTGTATTGAGATAATTCTTCAAAGTTTTTTCAAATAATACATTGTTATTACTGCTCACAACAACTTTCCATAATAACTTAATATGTCTTTTAATTTTGTTTTCACCTTTCAGTTTCTCTGTCTCAACAATCGTTGTCTTCTGTTCACTTTTTTCCCATTGTTCTTTTTTTTGTGGACTTTCACTGGTTGAACTTGTGGAGTGGAATTCAGAGGATAAAGCACCTAAAATCAGATTTACAAGAAGACAAACATTTTAAACCATAAACATACCTCAAACTATTTTCAAAAACACCCAAGATACAAAAACTTACCAAATTTTCTTTCATAGACCCTCCAACAAAAGTCTTGCCAATCAATCTTTGATTAATGTACATAATTTAATAAACTAAGGAAAGACAAATACAACTCTGTAGAGAGGAAAATATTGAGCCAGATGTCTTAGTAGGAAAGATAACAGGTTAATGGGAAGAGATGTTTAAGAAGAACAAAACATCAAATGAAATGCCTTGCAAACAAATAATTTCTTTCATTGGCATGGTTTATATACTGTAGTCAGCATGAGTTTACTAACAAGACAACTTCCCTCCATCTGATAAAAAAACTGGACCCATCCCTTCATGACATGTACCTTGCCATACTTCATGTGAAAAGACTGATGGATTTCGTTCAAAACCCTTTGCAAATATTTTATGACAGGACCATATGTTTTATGATAGGACCATATTTTTTATGACATCATTTTATGATACCAGTTAAAAGAGTGTATCAACTGAATCAAATTAAAAGTGGGTTTTCTCTCAATAATAAAGGGAAAAACTCAACCAACATGAAGAACCTTAAAAAATATTTTATGATAGGACCAGGCCTTATTACATTCTTTCTACCAACCTCTGAGTGCATCTTTCTCAAAGAACATTTTGCACGCATTGTACTCTTCTATGTCCATTGTTGTCTTCAGCCTCAGCTCAGCCAGGTTCAGTTCCTTCAAGATCTTCTCAGTTACAAAACAATTCTGAACCACTTCACCAAGATGACCAGACGAGTACTCTGCCCAAAACGCCTCCAAGATCATTAGAGATACAC